CCTCACAGCGAGCAGAGCTAGACGCCTGGGAGCAGAGGCCCCCTAACGCCCGGGCGGCGGCTGGGAGTCAGGGACTGATGGGGAGCCTGCTGGTTCCCGGTGCTAGCCGCACCGAGAGAGGCTCTGGGGCTGTCCCGCAGGGCGCTCCTGCAGTTAGTGCCCAGGCTCGCCCACCTGGCCCCGGCACACGGGCGGGTGGCTGGCTAGCTTTGGGAGGGCCCTTCCTGAAACCCGCTTTTTGCTTCAGACCCTCAGTGCCGCGCGTGACACGGACCCACTTTTCGCGCGCGAAGGGGAAAGGGCATCGCAAAGTTTTTACTGACCTTAAAGCGCTGCTGCGATCTGGGCTGGGCGCGCCCCCGAGAACCGGCTGGGCGAGGCAGGCTGGCGGCCAGGGAAGAAGGCAACTGCCGGGCAAACTGGCGTAGGAAGACTCGTCTGTCCCCCGGCGTGGGCGGCAGGGCAGAGGCGCTCTGCTGCGGGATAGAGTTAAGGATAACAATAACACAATAGAGGAATTGGCAAGAGTGAGCGAGACAGCCTGAATAAGCTTCTCACAGAACATTGTTTCTCCGTAACCCTTTCCAACCACTTCAGTTTCTCGGCATACCTAGGCTATGTCTAGACTGCAAGCCTCTTTCGAAAGAGGCTTTTTCGAAAAAGAGCGTCTAGACTGCAAGCAGAACTTTCGAAAAAGCAAGCCGCTTTTTCGAAAGGCAGTCTGGAGGCTCTCTTTTGAAAAACCCGTTTGCATTCAAGAACGCCTTTTTTCGAAAGAGCACTTTTGAAAAAAGGCGTTCTTCCTCGTGAAATGAGGTTTACCACCGTCAAAAGAAAAGCCGCGTTCTTTCGATTTAATTTCGAAAGAACGCGGCTGCAGTCTAGACGCAGGTGACGTTTTTTCGGAAAAAGGCTACTTTTCCCGAAAAAAACCCTGAGTCTGGACACAGCCCTAGAGAGCATCCAAGACACTCTGCCCCCACAGGCAAAACTTCATTGTAGCCTCTTCCTCCTCGCAGATCACAGCTTTTCAACTGGGGATTACCCCCTGGGAGGGGATATCAGACTTGGTGGGAGTGTGATGATGTGGACATGGTTATGGCAGAAGTAGGGGCTGCACCACTCAGATTTGACTGGCGAGCCCCATTACACTGAGAATTAGCCCACCGGCCACAGTTTGAGAATCTCTAACTTAAAACTGATGGCATTATTAGAGAAGCAGGTTGTTTCTTAGGCTGGGTTGCACACCTCAGCTCTTCCAGGTTTACAAAGTTAATTGATCAAGTTGTGCCCTTTTCTGAGCAGATGAGTCTTTTTAAATGATGCAGGTTTCACTGGAAAATTTGTTGAAAAAAAAAATCCTTTTGGAACAATTAGTCCTGCGGCACCTTAGAGACTAAGAATAATAATATATAGTATCATGAGCGTTTGTGGGCAAAGCCCACTTTTTCAGATGAGCTCATCTCAGACTATATATATTATTGTTATTCGCTACACTACAGTATTATTTTGAAATATCTTATTTTGAAATAGTTATTTCGAAATAAACTATTTCGAAATAACGCATCTACACACAAAATGCATTTCAAAATAGTGTTTTGCTATTTTGAAATAATGCGTCCACACTGAGTGGACTCTGAATCGCATTTAAGGTCAGGAGTTACTTTGTGTGGCTGCTGCCTGAGGCTATCTGAGGTCTGTGCTTAAAGGGACCTCTTTCCCCCTCCCTCCCCGACAGCCAGTTCTCAGGTTTCCCTGCTTGCTTGCCTACATCGATGAGGGACGGCAAAGCAGTTTTGTCTCTGCGCGCTCTGGTTGCCCTCACTTGGAACATCACAACACTCTGCTACATGGAGCCAGAGCTGCCTATGGGCACTCTGGTGCTTCTCATGGACACGTTGCTGCAAGCCTGGCTGCACTTGCCATCTGGGAGGTCCATCGGGGGGGTGTCAGTATCCAGGAGGCCCTGCGGGAGAGCTTCCATCCTGAGGAACACTAAGAGCCTCCCTGGTCTGCCTCACTGGGGGCTTGTGCCTCATTCCTCCCTCACATCCTTCCACCTACCCCTCCCTAACCCCCCCGATGTCAAATAAAATACACATATTTTCATAAACACAAACTTTCTTTATTTAACAAAACGGGGGGAGGATTGAAACTCTGGTGAGACTGGGGAAAGGAGGCAGGAAAGGGGAGGAAAGAGAGTGGGAGAGGGGAGAGGGAAAACTGGGAGGAAGGAGCTGAAAGGGGGAAGCAAGAAGAAGAAGGGCTCTGGGTTATGGGTCTCACTGGACCAACTTGATTTTCATGCGAACCTGCTCCTGGGTTCGCATGTGGCCTTTGGTGGCCAGGCTGGCAGCTAGCCTGCCCTAGGCGGCCACTTTCCTGTGCCTAGTGCGGAGGTCGTGAACGAGGTCCACGATGTCCGCATTAGACCAGGCGGGTGCCCACCTCTTGCGGTCCCGGGCAAGCCCCCGGGAGCCGCCAGCCTGGTCCCGGGAGGAGGGGGAGGGGTGGGGAGTGGCTTGCTGGCTCATGTTTTGGGGCCACTGGGTCAGGGGCAGTGACTGCTGGCTCTGGGCTTGCAGGCTTGGAGCTGGCTTGGGCACTGTGGCCAGAGTTTACCCCTTTAAGGGCTCCAGGGAGGAGGGGAGGGAGAGAGTGGCCACCGGGGCACCTGGGAAGGCTGGAGGCCCCCTATTTCGATATAAGTGTCTACACAGCACTTATTTCGAATTAGCTATTTTGAATTTGGCATTATTCCTCGTGGAATGAGGTTTACCAAATTTGAAATAAGTGCTCTGCTATTTCGAATTTATTTTGAAATAGCAGTTTGGCTGTGTAGATGCTAGGAAAGTTCTTTCGAAATAAGGGCTGTTATTTCAAAATAACTTTGCTGTGTAGACATACCCTAAGGTGCTACAGGACTACTTGTTTTTAAAGTTACAGACTAACACAGCTACCCTTCTGAGACTTTTAAAATCTTTTAGGTTTTACATGTCTACTCCTGCCTCTATATCAGAGACTTCCTAGCAATACAGTTTCAGATTTTAGTGAATAAGGTTTTCATCATGTGGTCTAAATTACTCTCTTGGGCTCTCATCCAACTGCCACTGACGTAAATGAAAACACCTTCTAGTAGGTCTCTGTAGTTAGGGGTACATTTTAGTAAAGTATATTTTTCATTATATATTCAAAGCTTTGTCCAGTAATTAATAGTAATGGAATTGTGTTCAAAGTATTCCAGCATTTTTTTCTGTTTCCACAAAAGTAATTTTAATTTTACACTGATCTATTCTACCAGGAACTCTTACATAATTTATATTCTGATGTATGAAATGATATTTTCTGTTATAGATATTGAATTCCAATACATCGTCCTATTGTATGAGCTGTTGAGATGTTTTGTGCATATTTGCATGGCTTTCCTAACTAGAAACTACAGGACTCAGTCACATTTACACTTAGGATTAAAATCCTAACCTTCCAATGAGGGATAATGACTTTCTTCTTTGCCCTCCAAATACATTAAACAGCATCATTGACTTTAGTGATGAAAAAGAGGTTGCTCTCCAATTACTGAACCCCTTTCTGAAAACACATATGCAAGTAACTTTATTCAGTTGAAGTCCCATTGAATTCAGTGCAGAAAGGGAAATACATGTGATAGGTACTGTGAATAGCAGATAATGGCATTGATAAGGGGTGAATTTTAATGACATGTCAATGGGAATATTACTTCAGGAAAAGGAGGAGTTGTATCTTTTTGTATTCACAGAATTTTTCAGAGGACAATTAACCTCTCTGTGTCCTACATACTCTTCAAGTAGACCTGTTTCCCACAGTACTACATGTCATACGGATGATAGAGAAGCAATGATGTTTCTCTAATAAGCTCTCATGAGACCATGTTATAAACATCTCCAAATAAAATGTCTTCTGCTAGAGCATTTTCTCCTTCTTCTCTTCTCTCTCTTCTTTTCCATGTTGCTCTTCACACTGACAATCTCTGACCACTCTGTGTTGTTACAGTTTAAATGACAGCCTTTCTCTTTCTCCTACTCTCGTTGCCTCTGGACAGCTTAATATTTTGACTGCCAGACACACAACATCAATACATATAAAGGTGGGTATGCCATCATTTTTTATAGAAGTGGCTATGATTGCACATAAATACATATATTTGCATGCAACTATATTTACTCATGCACAGATATTATTGTTTACCATTTTTATTGTGATAATTACTAAAGCCAACCAGGCCAGGAACCCATGTTCCTCAATGAATATTTGTATGAATTTAAAAAAGATGTTAAATGTTCACTTACACCAAGCAACAAGGAAAATGACAACCAAGCTGAACTGATGGGAGAATTTGAGAGCATGTTTGTGGCTAGTTTTTACTATTAAGATTTTACTTGTTATGCAACTGCTTAGTGACATAAGTGCTTTGTTGAAAAATATGGGTTAAAATTTCGTGAACTTTTCCTCCAGTTGTTGGTATTTGAAATGTCAAGAAAACATTTAGTCAAAATCTCATATTTTAAAATATTTTCTTAGCTTTGATCTTTTATATTATCTATCATTTCAAGAATAATAGAAAAAATTAAGTATAATGGATTTTTGCAATCCAGATTGAATAATATTATTCAGTTATTTATTAAAAATCTGAATCACCGTGAGTAGAACTTTCAAAAGCACTTAAGTGACTTAAGTTTCATTTTCAGAAGTGACTTGGCCACTTAGGATCCTAAGTCCCATTATCTTTCAGTAAGATTCAGGATAACATTTTCAAGAGAATGCCCAAATCTCAGTGTAAAACAATGGGACCTACACTCTTAAATGACTTAAGTGGTTATGAAAATGTTGTCCTTTCTTTTATTCCAAAGGAAAGTAGTAGTTGGAAATAGATTAACTGTTGAGTCATCAGTTTAACACAGAGGATGTGCACAGCACCTCATAACCTATCAGGGTACGTCTACACTACAGCGCTAGTTCGAACTAACTTAGTTCGAATTAGTTAATTCGAACTAAGCTAATTCGAACTAACGCATCTAGAACTAAAAACTAGTTGAGTGGACTCTGAACAGGGCTTAAGGATGGCCGGAAGCAGTGCTGGCAGGGCATAAGAGGAGGACTTAGAGCATGGAGAACTAGGCTTAATCCTCGTAAAATGAGGTTTACCTAGTTCGAACTAAGCGCTCCGCTAGTTCGATTCAAATTCGAACTAGCGGAGCGCTAGTGTAGCGCCTATTAAAGTTAGTTCGAACTAACGTCCGTTAGTTCGAACTAACTTTGTAGTGTAGACATACCCTCAGAGAGTGGGCTAAAAGGTAGGTTGACTAACACAAAGTCAGAGACCAAGAAATCAAGGGCATTTGAGCCTCAATCCTCCCTTTATATTTCACACCTGGACTTTGATAGATTGAAAGCACTGCTTAAATTAATCAATCGGTTTAATGCAATGGAAT